GGAGGCGCAGACCAGAGCGTGGGCTCTAAGGACGAGCTGCTTCGGCTGCCCAGGGGCTCGGAGAGCTTGGGAAGTCACTGAAGCTCGTCAGCTTACACATCCGTTAAGCAGCAGTAAGAAGTTATCTGCCTCCCCAGGCTCTAAAACTGCCGACTTTGAAAACACACTTTCCTAAAAGACTCACAACGACATCTGGCACCAATAATGGTATTGGAGGGTTTTTCAAAAGATGTTTAAAACGGACAAGCCACGGACAACAGAATGTCCCAGAATTGTCCTCACAGACACACCAGGACGTTCTGTGTGTTCTTTTGCCTGTCGTGAAAGCTTCCGCAGCAGGAAAGATACCAGGGGCGCCTGGGGGGTTCAGGCATTAAGCATCCGACTCTTGGTTTCAGCTTAAATCACGATGTCATGGTTTGTGGGATCGAGCCCCACGTCAGGCTCTGCACTGTCAGCGCAGATTGGGATCCTCTCTCTACCTCTCTGCCCCTCCCCAGTTCATGCCCTCTCTCTTACTCTCTCTTTCTCTCAGAATAAATAAACTTTAAAGAAAAAAAGAAGGAAAAAAATCAATATAAAACTGAGTCACAGAGGGAAAACCACTCCTACTTAGAAAGAGAGGCAGCGGCTACCACCATTGAACTGTCTTTGTCCTTCTTCTACAAACAATAAGTAAGAATCCTGAAGTGCAATGAATGATTTATACTGGTTCATGTTTCCTGAATCCATGAAATGACACTGGACATGGTGACTTTCTCACATCAACATCCATCGTGTGTTGCTTAATGTTTAACAGTTCGATTTCAGAAAAAGGGAGGCACCTGGGCGCCCCAGTCGGTTTATCATCCGACTCTTAGTTTCGGCTCAGGTCGTGATCGTGCAGTTTCTGAGTTCTAGCCCCACATCAGGCTCTGCGCCATCAATGAACAGCCTGCTTGGTATCCTCTCTCTCCCTCTCTCTGCCCCTCCCCTGCTTGTGCTCTCTTCTCTCTCTCTCTCTCAAAATAAATAAACTTAAAAAAAACCTTTTTCAGAAAAAGCAAAGAGTTCGTCAAGTTATTCAGAAGGGCGACCTCTTGGTCTGCCCAGCCGGTTATAATACTGTTTGGATGGGAGCAGGCAAAGCAAAACTCCAGGAAGACTGATTCCAGGTTTTCAAGCAGGGGAGCGCTCCACGGTAACCGCCTGACTCTGACTTTGATTTCACCTTGAGCTGGCTCTTCCAGAATGTGGGGATGTGTCTCTGTCTTTAAGAAATCTATTTTGGCTTCTGCTTTCCTATCCTATGGGGAGGCACACCCCCCTCTTCCCCTCACGTACCACCCAGCTGTCCCCCCATTTTTAGGTGGGATTGAGCTCTGACCACAGAAAAAAGTTGCAGCTTACTTCCTCTGAGGTTTGGGTCCCAACAACCACAGGAAGCGTTTAAGGAGCAGGCTTGTCTCAAGTCCTCTGTCTGCACACGATTTCCATCCAAACCGTCTGCCACCTACCTTCCCTTCCCTTTGGTTCCGTGTTATCTGTTCTGAACGCTTTTGAATTTGCTTATTTTTCTAATCTCTTCTCTCCTCCTTTGGTCACACTACTCTTTATCTCGTGGTTTTCATCTTTATTACTCACATTTCCTCACAATGAGCATTCATTAAAATATTTTAAATTAAGACCTTTACCAGCCTTTCTAACCAAGCACATCGCGTCTACCCATACAACACATTTTTAATTCTTATCGCAGAATTTCAGGCAGTTTGTACATTATATTCTATTAAAAACTCTATTCCACCCAAGGTTGTCACAATTCGGAGATTACAGCTTTCTGACGGATGTTTTGTTAAGGATATATTCATATATTTACTTTGTGAGCCGGCAAACACGGTCCGTGAGCTTGTATTTCACACCTCATTTGACATCACGATTCAACAGCAAAGTACAAAGAGAAGCAATTATTTATTTAGATCATGGAATGAATTTCGGAGGGATATTCGGTAAGTATAAATTGTCATGGCATAGCATTAATCCCTGCCCTTCTCACAGCCCGGGGGGAGGCCATGCACTGGGGTGAAGGAGAAGGCAGACACCGGAATGGGGAGAGCGCCTCATAATCATGTAAACTCTGCTCAGCTAACGACTTCCTCTCCTGGAGCTTTTTTTTTTTTAATCTCCAGAGAGAATGCGAAATTGATTCTCACGAAGCCAAAAGTGATAACCACAGCCTATGCGTTTTCTTCCGTTCAAAACGTCACCACTTGATCAGCCAAATGTTTCACAAAGTCAATTTCCTACACATGGACCACAGATCCCGCCCTTATTCTGACTTAGGACGGCTTGACGTACGATTGTGCAACTTTATGATGGTGCAAAAGCAATACGCCTTCAGCAGGACTCATATTGGATCCGGATCCTGTTCCGGGCTAGTGATCTGCAGCCCCATCCCCTCCTGCAATGCTGGGCAGCGGCCACAGCTCTCAGTCAGCCACGCGGTCGGGAGGGTCAGCAGGCGGTGGGCGGAGGGCTGCCTGTGCCCACACGGCGTCCCGTCTGTCACTATCAGTTACACGCGATAGTCAGCACCTGATTATAAAACAGGCTTTGTGCCGATGGCCGTGCCTACCCGGAGGCTCGGTCTGTGTTCTGAGTGCGTCGAAGGCGGGCCGGGCTGGGGAGTGGTGCTCACTGGGGTAGGTGGCTAAATGCATTTTTGACTTAGGATATTTTCAACTTACGATAGGGTTTATCAGGAGGTTACCTCATCATGAGTCAAGGAAGATCTACACCGAAGATGTTTACCACCCACGTGATGATTTCAGAGGGTCTAAGTCTAAGCGTCCTATCTGGGCCCCTCCAGCACAGGACTGTGGGAACCGCAAGGTCCCCTCCCGTTTCTCCCCTCCCCCCAGCATCCATCCCCCAGAACCCCTCCCACCCTCTAAGCCTGTGTCGTTGGGGTGGGCTGGCCAGTGATGGGTTCTGGTGGGTCCGTGATGCCGGGCAGGCCAAACAGAGCCAGTGGCCCTGATGGGGAAGAGCCGCGTCCTCCCCGAAGTGACCGCAATGGCATGGACGTGGGGGGCTGGTCGTGGCCAAATTGCCACCCACAGGGAAGATCCTGCTGGAGGTGATGTCAACCCAGAGGGAAGACGGGGGACAGGTTGCCAAGGACGCTGCTTAGGCACCTGCATCCCGACGTCCCTCATACCAGCCCCCGGCACGTCTCCATCTGCACAAGAGCCCAAGTCCCTCCTTTGCTTGAGCTCCAAAGCGCAGCCCGAACAGCAGCCACTGGTCAGAGCCCACCTGGCCAGCAACCCACAGGGAGTCCGGGCCACAGCGAAGCCACAGCCCTCGGCAGGCACCACACTGAGGACAGAGCCAAACGCTGCAGGCCGACCGCCGCTCTCCCGCCGCCTCCCACTGTGGCTCCCGAAAACAGTACCAGGCGTTCCCTTTCCCAGACCGACCGGCCTCGTGGGCAAAGGCAGGGAACCCACCACTTAACCCACGCGATCTGAAGGGACGACCTCCAGGCCCTGTTCCCTGATGAAAAAGCACTAACGGGAGAAGTGGCTGCGCCCCTCCCCCACCCCCCGCCGGGTTGGCGGACAACTGCCGAGTCAATGACCCCTGCACCTGCTGCAGCCACTTTGTAACCACGTGGGAACCGGAAGGGGGATGGCGGCCGGGGAGCCCCAGGCACGGGAGACCTGGCGACATGGCCATGGTGCCAGATTAACCAGCCGCGAAGCACCTGCCCCTGAGTTTCCTGCCAGGTGAGATGATAAAACCATGTTGCTGCGGCCACGTTTAGGTGGGCACCCCACTGCCTGCACGGGAAAACACCTGAGCCAACATAGGATCCCGGCCTCTCCCCATATACTGACAACTCCGGACAGACAGACAGATTCCCTGGGAGACCGTGGACCACGGGAGGTTGCTGACTAAACGGCCTGCCAGGGATGGGTGGAAAGGAGGCTAACGAGAATGGTCAGTCTGGAGGGATCACATTCCTAACAGAAGGCTCGGGGCCACTCGCCTGGACTCACTTCTTTCCCTTTGAAGGAGGGCTTCGCAAAGGGACAGGGTCCTAGTCCCTTGGGAGAGGCAAGCCCCGCCCAGTCTCTCCAGGGTCAGGAGCCCCCCCCCACGCCCTCACCCATTCACAGAGTGCCCACCCTAACACGGTGGGTCTCCGTGAGTTTAAACAGTAGGAGAGAAAGGAGAGACAGCAGGGTGTGACAACGGAAGGTGACGCATAACAGATCGGAAAGAGGCTCACCTTCCAGGCTGAGGATGTAAGGCAGGGGTGAGGGGCGCACATCGAGGGGCTCATTCACCCGCCACCCCTTGAGAGAGAAGGTTGTTACAACAGTGGGGAGGACGCCCCTGCCTCTGTGGGTCCCGATGCACAATGACTAGCGATGATCTCCCTCCGCCCCCAGGTGAGCGCAGCCTCGGGAAACCCCAAGCCGGTGTCTGAGCCTGGCAATGCCAAGTTCACCTGACTTAACGATCTGAATCCATATGCCAACACCCAGGTGCGATTTCTGCAAAACGCCTGCATCTAAGCACCGAGAGACGATTCCTTGGTCGCTAGAGACACCCTCTGTTTGCCCATTAGCAAGTACATTTCCCCCTTGCCTCTTAGATCATTTCTATGGTCCCATTTCATCCTTCAATCTTTACTGTGAACAATAACAGTAATAATATTAGATTCTCAAAATACGGTTCTCAAACCCTGCACGTATGTGAGTCTGGGTAATGTTCGAGACGGCTCACCTAATTGGGCCATTGGTGTATAAAGAGAGTAAAGAATAAAAGCCTTCTGTAGCAGCACAGCCCTGTAATGGAGCCTTCTGGAAGCCAAGTGACTGAGCAGTGCCCAGGAGCTATAAGAACACATTGCCCATAAAGGCAGAGGCATCAGCTCATTGATATGCACATTATTCTGCGATCAGCTTTGCAGCCACCTGCAGCCCCAGGCTGGTGGGGGACTACACGCTTACCTGCTCTGTGGGTCCGGCTGGTGGCCCACGCAGGTGAGCGTGGCCGTCGTCTGAACGCCACTGCTGTCTATTTCCTCCTGGACTGCCCACTGCTGCTCGCTGGTGACTCGCACGGCCGTTATCTTCACCCCTGCTGCTGCCTTAATTCTGTGGGGTGGGAAAAAGAGGTACACATGTATAAAACCACTTGAGGTCAAGATAGGTGGTAAAAATACGTAACCAGAGCAGATCTCCCCTTTCCTCTGGGAGACGAGGGAAGAGAGGTAGTAAATGGCTTTCCTTTGAAAACTAAGTGTCTTGTTATTATTTTTAATGTTTATTTATTTTTGAGAGACAGAGAGAAACAGAGCGTGAGCAGGGGAGGGTCAGAGAGAGAGGGAGACACAGAATCTGAAACAGGCTCCAGGCTCTGAGCTGTCAGCACAGAGCATGATGCGGGGCTGGAACCCACAAACCGTGAGATCATGACCTGAGCCGAAGTCGGACGCTTAACTGACGGAGCCCCCCAGGCGCCCGTGTCCTGTTATTTTTGCAAGTGCCCAGAGTAGAAGCCCAGGACTCTCCCAAGCGTGTGTTACTTTACTGTTCCGTGAACATGCTAGGAACCAGATCTCTGTCTGCTGCGGGCTCACAAGTGATGGAAAAGGGGCAGATGTGTCCAGGGAGGTGTGGAGGGGACCTGGACATGGGGAGGCGTCCCCACGAGGTGGAGGAAGCACAAAAGGCTGGGGGTGCTGGAGAAGCCCAGGGGGGACTTCTGAGTCCAGGATGAACACTGCACTGGGTTGTGAGGGAGCTGAAGTGTCTCCACTTCCTAGATGGAAGCCCGTGGGCCAACTATCAATGCCCACTGAGGCCCTGGGCACCCTTTGCCACAGATACATCCAAAGGAACTTGATTCAGTCCTAAAAAGGAATGAAGCGGGGAGCTTGGGGGGCTCAGTCAGTTAAGTGTCCGACTTCGGCTCAGGTCATGATCTCACGGTTCATAGGTTCCAGCCCCGCGTCGGGCTCTGTGCTGACAGCTCAGAGCCTGGAGCCTGTTTCAGATTCGTGTCCCCCTCTCTCTCTGACCCTCCCCTGCTCACGCTGCCTCTCTCTCTCTCTCTCTCTCTCTCAGAAATAAATAAAACATTAAAAAAATTTTAAAAACAAAAGAATCGTGCAGATGCAAGAATCACAACCCTGCTCTCCCACCCCAGACTGAGTGACGGGCAGATGCCCTCTCTCCAAAGCCTGCCTGTGCGTGCTTGGTGTGCTTCTGGAGCCACGCGGGCACCAGGCGCTGGGGACAAATGCCCAGCAGCCCCGTGCGGCGGCAGACGGCCGGCACTCGAGCTCAGAACTGAGCCTGACTGCCCCTCCCCCTTTGAGTCCTGGAGGGGCCACACGTCCACTGAAGGTTCTCCTTCGGGTTTCTTGCTTCCTCTCACCCGGGACTCCACGGGCACCTTGTGTTCGGGGACGCAGCGTCTCTGAACGGATTCACGCCTCCTCACTGTCCTTCTCTGTCGTCTCTTTTGTTTTCTGAGACAGAAGCCATTGCAGCGGGTGAACTCTCTCTCTGGGAGTTTGAGAAGCAGGCATCCGACACCAGTATTTCACAGCAGGACAGAGCCACGCAGGGCTGGGGGCCGGCCCCCGTGCTCACCGTTGTCACTGTTCCTGCCGGTCCCCGAGAGGTCGCAGGGGCCCCAGGGGGCGGCGGGAGACAGGCTTGTGACAATGGTCCTTAACCAGCAGATGTCCGCATTTTTCAATATTTTGCCAACCGGCAGGGCCACCCCAGTGCCCGGAGCCACGCACGAGGCTGCGTTCATCTGAGCAGAGGAGTGCACTTGAACTGAGGCAAAGGGCAGACCAGGGCGGCCTCCCGAGGTCTCCCTCAGATGGGTTCTTGGCCCCAGGACACCACAGGTGCTTTTCTTTATGCCGCTACCCTCTCGAGGGGGCGCCCGACCTCACCTTTTCCTGGCTCGCTGGAGCCCAGATGACAGCCCGTGATACTGGTCACCCAGTTGCCTCCCTCCCCAGGGGGCAGCCAGTCACCCCCCGGGTTTGGCCAATGAACGGGGCATCTCCGTTCCCTCCCGCGCAGGAGCACAGGCTCTGAGTCTCCCTCCCCGTCCACGCCCTTCGCCGGGCCTGGCATTAGGGCTGCAGACACTGTTACGGTTTTCCTCACTCCTCATCCGCCTCCCGAGCCACCGGGCGTCCTGTGGCCCCTGCTTGACCCAGAGCACACCACGAACGTTTCTGCCCTGCTGCCCTCCTGCAGCCCCGGTCTCCTGTGGTTCTGGAAGCTTCCCTGGGGCTGCAGCAAGGTCAGACCTGAGAGGGTCACCCTGCTGTATCAGCAATTTGGAACACGCGGGCATCCAGAAACTTCAGTGTGGTTAATTTCTGGCCACAGAGGAAGTCCTTGCCAGGCTTTCTAGGGCCCACCCCTCCCCCAGAAATGGACTTTCAAGCTGCCAAGGTACCTTCCACAACTTCGATAAAGACACGCCGGCTTTTATACCCGCTAACGACGGCAATCACAGCAGGGTGAGCACTGTGAGCATCATAGTCACCAGTGAACGAACTGTCCCCAGCAGGGCTGAAAGCCACGCTGCCTCCCTGGGGCTTTTTTCTCAGCTTTTCGTTTCAGTGACTATTATGCATTATCGCTATCACCACCACCAGCAACCATCCACTCTGGCAGAAAACAGACACTTGCCCATCGGAATGGCTACAACAAAAAGAGAAAATAGCAAGTGTTGACATGGAACTGGCGTAGCCAGTACCGATCCGCCCGGCTGGATTGAGTCCATTTGGTTCCATTTCTCTGGCAATGTCCACTAACCTGGATTTCTGTGATCCTACAGCCAGGTATGTCCATGACTGGTGTGTATGTGCCCAAGAGAAAGGCAGGCTCATGTTCCCCGAAAGAGCAGCAGGAAATTCATGGCTGCACCGCCCTATAAGCTCCAAATGGAAACAGCCTACATTCTCACTAGCAACAGAATAGATAAAGCATATGAAATACGGTGCAGCAAAAACACGGATGAGCGGGCCCCCATCACGCCAAACAACATGACGAACCCCCAAAGACAATGTCGGGTGAAAGAAGCCAGATGCCCAAAACTGCACAATCCCATTTGCAGACAGTCTGAAACAGGCAAACGGGTCCATGAGGTTAAAGTCGGCATCGTGGTTACTCTTCAGGGAAGTGACTGGACGGGGTCTCAAGGGGGGCTTCTGGATGTGACGGCATGGTGGGTTTTGAGAGTTTGTCGGGCTGGGCTCACTTACGTGTACTTCCTTGTGCATACGCTCTGGTCCGGTATAAAGTTCAAACAAAGCAAGTAGACCTCCTGCGTCAAACAGGGATGCCACGTTGCAGCCAGGGAGGTGTGACTTCACCACTGGTCCAGCTCAGCGGGAGGCCTCAGGATGAGTTAGATCGTCCCCACCCTGGACACACACAGGGGCGCCTTCCCCCAACTTCCAGCACCCCTTGAGGTGCCCGGGGCCCCACCCTTGTTCTGAGCGGCACAGAATAATCTGAAATTTTGACCTTGTCTATGATGGGGAAGAGTCTTAGAACCCCAATGAACATCCCTTTTGGCTGGACCAGGACCAGGTGACATTCCAGCTGCTGGAAATAAGCAGTGAGAAAGACATCTGGACTCCAGGCCGGGGTCCGCCCAGCAGGGACTAGAGACAGGAAAGAGACCCACAGCTTCTTCACCTCATTCCCCTGTGGCTTTCCAGCCCACAGCATCTCCCATCTGGCAGGACCCAAGAGAACTTGCTTGGTGAGTCCATCCGAGACTTTGTTTCTGATACTTAGGCCATCCACTTTAGAATAACTCAAACCTCAGCAGAATTTTTGATCATTTGATTGTTTACACGGTGGAGGTGCGGTAAAAGATCAATCCTCTGCACTGATAGACTCTCCCTTTTGTGATCACAACACAGCTGCAGCGGCTCCAGATCTCACATCCTCATCCACCAAAGGAAAAGCAAGATTCTCTCCCTCAGAACAAAATCCTGGAGCTAGGTTTTCATAGGTTGAATGAGATTGAGGAGCCCACCTTGGACCACTAAACTGTGGCCTAGGGGGTGGAAGAACAGAATGCACCAGTTTAGCCAGATAACAACCATCCCTGCACTAAGAATATAGTTAAGCCCAGGGCGCTCAGGGGGCTCAGTCAAATGAGCATCCGACTTTGGCTCAGGTCATGATCTTGTGGTTTGTGAGTTCAAGCCCCACGTCGGGCTCTCTGCTGTTGGGTTGTCAGTGCAGAGCCCGTTTCGGATCCTCTGTCCCCCAGTCTGTGCCCTTCTACCACTTGTGCTCTCCCCAAAATAAATAAATATTAAAAAAAAAAAAAAGAGTGAAGTAAAGCCCATCTGAATCACAGGGCAGTAACCATAAGTGGCTCCTAAAAAGACATTCAAGTCACAACAGAAGAAATGAAAATACGAGTCTAAAGGCCGATTACCGAGGTCCTGCTCCCCTCCTAAATACAAGTTATAAAACTGTTCTAAATTCTGGTTCGTCGTCCAAATCCTTCCCGATTTTAGATTCTATTTGTTAGAACAATTTGAGCCCAGAAAAATCCAAGTCTTGAATATTCATTACATGTGTTTTAGAGAAATATTTTTAGCTTGGTGATATTCTTAACACTTGTTATGGATAAAAACAACAATATCTAAAACTATGTGCAAACTATTAATGCACTGAGATGAGCGGCGGGGATCTGGGGGCTGAGCAAGTAAAAGGTGTGACCACTAGGTGGCAGGAGCGCGCAACAAGCGCGATCTGGGCATCCCTTGGACAGGTTTGCGAGCTGTGGGAGTCCCTAGTGAGCTAAGCTTTTCCAAAGGATAGGGCACGGCCCAAAGGGGAGGGGGGCAAGAGAGGAGCGGGGAACAGGAGGGTCAGAGAGGGGGCTTCTATGTCTACATGACGTCACCGAGCAACACAGTGTCAAGTCTGCAGATCACAGAGCCCCAAAGGGCAGCGGAGGCTGGGGGTCTTATAGCCAGAATTTATGGCTCACAGACGCTGGGCACAGTTTTGCAGGGTATGGAAAGCAGGCAGGCTCCAAATGGCTAAAAATATGCTTATTTGGGGTATCTCTGTAACAATCAGATGTG